CTCCCCGCGAGGTGCAGCCGCGAAGCGCGGCGCGGCGCGACCATTCAGCAGCAACAAGTTGCCAGGTGCCCATCGCGGCGGTTCACAGGCCGTCTTTTCAGCCCTTTCCCCCTCCCCCCCACCTGCCGTCCCCGCCCCACTCCCACGATTACACGTAGCTCGGCATGCTGGGGTTCAATTAATTTTTTTTGCTAATTATTAAAGTGGTCACTCCGTGTCCCTAGACCGCACCGCGTCGTTGGGATATGAATGTCAGAGACAATATATTCATGCAGAGACAAGGGGCTCCCACACTGGCGATCATATTTAATATGAGAGTTGTATTCATGGTTTTTTCTTGAGTAGATCTCTTTGATAGGGGGATCCCCTATGGTTTAAATTACGATTAAGGGAGGTTTATGAATGCTTTGGAGATTGTACCGAATATGGACGATTTTCACGCGCTTCGAGTCGAGTTCAATAAATTATTGATAGACTTTATATTGTGGATTATTTTTGGTAATTAGTATGATTTCTAAAGAGAGAAAGAAGAAATAAACTAGAGTTGAACAATTTGGTCTGACAGTTAGTAACGATGTATCTATCGTGCATTAATCTTTAAAAAAAAAAATGTATTATTTACAACACATATTTTTACATACATTTTCGATAAGACTTTTGGTTTTGTATCTACGTTATCTCACTAAACCATTTTTGAAACTTCTATAATAAGATCATCGGCAGTGTCATTTTCTGACAAAAATAGTGAGAAAATTGCGAAATACTACTTTTAGGACTCAAGAAAACCGGTAAAATAGCGCGAGGGCTAATGTTAGCTCTGCGTCTTCATTTATCGAGGCATACCACAAAATATCCTACGCGTAGGAATAGTTATCCTTACAAAGGAATAAGCTTTAAGTTATTTGCGTCGTTTGCGTGCGGTATATGATTACTCCAAACTTCAAAAAGAGAGCAAGAGAAAGAATTACGACTTTCTTAATCCCTAGTCTATTTATGTTTGTATATATTTTCTCATTATCAAAGACCTGAACGAACTTTCGGCCGCATAATTCTCGAGGAAAATGAGACATTAATTCTTTGCAGAGAGAACGCTTAATGAGTTCCGATCACTCAATGCGTCTTTTAATACTGGTTTTTTCATGTCATTCTCCTTCTCCTTCAGTCTCTGACCAAATTTTAATTCCATGCAGTAACGAATATTCCATACTAAATTGCGTCTCTTTCTTTGTTATAGGAATGGACGCCCTAGCCTATGACCCATCGAAGAAGAACAGCTACGCCATGGACTACCACAACATCGGCTTCCGAGAGTGCGCCGCCGAAGTGGCCCGATACCTAGTCACCGTCGAAGGGCTCGACATCCAGGATCCCTTACGGCTCCGACTCATGTCCCACCTCCAGTGTTTCGCCGCTCAGCGCGAGCTCGCCACCAAGCAGCCCACGGGCTGGTACCCCGGCAACCCCCCGGCGACCCCCACGCCGGGCAACCTCTACGCCACCCCCACGCCTATGTCCCCCGTCACCCACCAACTCCTACCCCCTTCCGCCATCCCCCACCATCACAACACCCACAACTCTAGTCTTGACTCTTCCGGATCATCCCTAGCCAATTCCTCAATGAATAGTTCCTCATTTAACAATTCCGCAAATTCCAATACGTCCTGTGAGTCGTCACCCCCCATGGTCAAGTCTGACCCCCACTCCTCAGCGCCCACCACGCTGACGCCTTTGACAACGGTGACGTCAGCCGGGAACTACCATCACAGTTACCACCATCAGAACCCCTCCATGAACCCCCACTACCACCATAACCTACCACCGACGCCTCAGTCGAATTATAGTCACTCCCAGAGTGCGCAAATGAAGCCGTATAGACCGTGGGGTGCTGAAGTTGCATACTAGATTCCTCGTCTAGACATTTAGGTTGACCTAATTTTTCATCATTAATGCGCAAAAAGTGTAATTTATTGCGAAATCCCGAATAGATGAATCTAAATCAGAAAACTTTGAACTAAGTCAAAAATATTTTGAGTGCTTTGGTAGTCATTAGAATTAATAAATTGTGTACAAAATATCTTGAGTTCTCGAGAAAATAACATTGTAGCTGTATTGTATATATGTACAGAAGTAGGTAGGTTAGATCATTTGAAACAACCAATAAAATGTGTGTCCTTAAATTTAACCTTAGGTGAGACAACCAATTAGTCGGTTGAAAAATAAAGTTTAGCACAGTAAGAACATGTAAAAAGAGTGCATATCACGACGTCATGTATTACAAAATTCTTGCTGAAAGCAAAGGGAGCGATCCTTGCTCTGAAAGTACTTATCAATTACAGTCACAGATGAAGAAATAAAATCGGGAATTCTGAGACACATGTAAAAATAGTTAAGGAATTCAGAAATTATTTCCTCCAAAATTTAATTTAATCTTGTTGTGATCTCGAAACTCTAGACCCTAAATTGGTAGTGAAGAGCTGATATTATTGAAGAATCGGGAAAATTCTTTGTTACTTGCTGGAAGTCAGTCTCATACGATAAATTTCAATCATTCTCACAAATTGAATTACTCGTTTTAATGAAGTTACCATTGTGCATTTCTGTTCCAAAGTATAACGTTAAAAATATATATCATGCTTGAATAAATTTTGTGATGTGTTACAAAAATGTTACAAATGTTTGCTCAATCATTCCATTTTTTCGTGTTAAAAGATAAACTGCTGAGTACCTGTGCCGAAAATCCACATTCCTATAAATTTAGTACGGTAGATTCTCAAGACATTAAATAAATAGCACTTGCGATGGATCTGAATTTTTTAAAATGTAATTTACTCACCAGACATTACTTATTTTTTCTGTTGTTTCAAGGAGTCAAAAAATATAAGTAGTTATATTGATCCTGGTGTTTCCGGAGAGTCTACCATAAACAGCCACTTTCGAACAATTAAGACCAGGCAGTGCCTAATTTTCTCTGTCACGTCTTTAAATTGTAATTTTTGTTTTCTTCTATGTACATTCAGTATAGTTTATTTATTTTTGATGAATTATAATTTATTTTTTCATTGTTTGTCGTTTTAACAAATTAAAAACTTATTTTATGATAAACATGTTTCTTCTGATTTCATTGATCCTTCAACAATTTGACTGATGCTTTTGATATTTAAAAATTCATTTTGTTACTCATATTTAAGATAATTCTGCAGTATCAACATGAGTTAATAAAGAAGTTAAATCTTTGGATACTATCCTTGAGTAACTCTCAAGAAAATTTTTGCTTGTGAATTTGTTGCTATAAATTATTTGTATCCCTTAAATATTTTTTTGAAGAAAAGAACAATTTAAAATGAAGAAAGGAAACCATTGATGCACACAATGCACACCTCCATAACAGTGCAAGATTGGGAAGAATTGCATCCCAGATAAACAAACTGAATTCTAGTGGCTTCATTTTGGATGAAATTTTGTTGAATTTTCCCATTTTCCTCTGCTTTTTAAAACAAATTCTCTAAAAAATATTCTACAAAATTCTCTTTAAACATTGATATGGAAAAGAAAAAAAATTCTGAACGTCTTAATCAAGAAGTGTATATTTTCAGTTTTACTATCAATTAATGGTTTCAGCATAGTAGCATTAAACAAACAAGATCTAATTTTATTTGTATTGAATATGCGTAGGTGGACTCTATACTAAAATTAGTTAGATTCTTTCAGATATTTTAAGGAAACATGCTCAAAATCATAAGTATGAATATTCTCATTACTGTTTTGAAAATTTCCAAAAATCGTTGAAACTTATTTTACTCTGAATGTTTCATATAAAAACACCTCACACTTTAGGTTTCCAAGCGCAGTCAGTTTTGCAATGAGTTTATAAATGTTGCAAGCAATAAGCAATCTTAGCCAATTTTCAATCGTCTTGCGGATTGTCAGGCATTCTTTAGGTGGCGAATTGCTTTGACAATTGCCAGGCATATTTCTAAGACAATTTCTTAAGTTGTGCAATTCAATTGTGCAAATTATTTTTCTCCAATTTTTTGTCATCTTCCTTTTTTGGCCAAAACTGGAAAATCATATCGGAAAGGTAAACATTTTTTCATTCACCAATTCCAAGGAAGCCATTTTCCGCTTTTTAAAGTTATTTTTTGTTGCCATGTGCACCTACGTGCATTCGAGATGTGTGAGCGGCTCAGAAACCAACCAAGTCGGTAAGTTACTTTGCACTTTTTTTTTCGTATTCAACCTTCCCGCCATCCAACATTCGATCCGCTATCAAAATTCAAATACTCGAGGACTGCGTATCTTCTTTTGCTCAAACTCCTACTCAAGATCCCAAAAAAATGAAGAAAATCTCGATCCTTTTTGGAAGAGTCTTTGATCCCTCCAAAGATTTGTCGAAATGCCAAAGCTTTGGTCCAACATTTTTTAAAGAAAGGTACGAGCGTCGACGGAAGTGGCAGTACACTGGTAAAAAAAACCTCTTGGACCAATGCCGCGGTGCATTGACTTAAGAGTGCAGTTTCTTGTCGCCGGATTTAAGAGTTTTGAACTCTTGTTTCAAGCGGATTTTGCATTGAAACAATAGTCCAGACTCTTAAATCCGGCGACAAGAAACTGCACTCTTGAACCAAGAGGTTTTTTTTTACCAGTGTATATTCGACATATGGACTACATTTTACAATTAGGAACTACAATTCCTGGTCCTTCCTTAAATATACTTATTACTTATACGTGCATAGGAAAACCAATGGAATATAAGTTGCCTCTGAGCTGAGCCAAGTATTGTTACCAGGTATTTGTTGTTGGTTCCTAATTACAAAGTGTAGTCCATATAATGTCGTCAAATACCATGGGTGGATAATCAAGCGCTGGATGATGATCAAAATTTCACTCTGACGCATTTCACGTCAAATCGGCAAACTTTGAGAACTCTGACTTGATGGCTATGACTAAAAGTGGATCCTCTAGTAGTTATACTATCCCTTTAAAGTTACTCGAAAAAGTAGGTAATAATCTGCAAAAAGTTGTAACGAGAAGAAACTTGCATAGTTTAGCGCCCTTCTCTTGATTACCAGCGAATAACACAGTGCCTCTCTCTTGCGACTGAACAGTAAAGTTACAGTTCCTTCGTCTGGCGAGAGAGAGCGGTAGCACAACAAAACGCGACCCCTTGTTGCATCGCTCTATCCTATCGTATTTTCATTCATGTCGTGGCTGATGTAAATTAATACGAGATGTGGTCCCTTCGAGATGCAAGATGGTTGTGGAAGTCAAGTGCATTTTATACCATTTTTTTAGGGCAGATTTTGATTTGAATAAGATTTCAGCCGTCATTATTTGGAATAGGTATCTTGCTGAGAATTCTTTGATGCGGATGTGGATTGATGGAACCCTTTGGGTCTCACAGGGGGATCAGCAGTGACTTGAAAGTCCCTCCTCCTCAAATTCACATATTACTACCCCCCCCCCCCCNCATTATTTTAATTCATATTTTAATAAATGGAACTGAAAAATAATGAAGTTGAAGCCTTCAGCGTATGAAGAAGGCTAGCGATCAATTTTGAAGGGAGGAAGATTTTTGAGATATGGTTGACCTTTGATGTAACTTGTTTCACAGTGAACTTTGCCAGACGTGTTTTCTCTGCAATTTCAATATCTAGCTCCAGTTTAAAATTAATGAGTCAGAGGAAGCGTATAAAGTTTAAACATAAAATTCGTTTTCCTCGAAACCTTTGTCTTACCCCTTAAACAGAGTGAACATGTGTTTTTCGTGTTTCTTGATGTGATTGTTGCCTATGCGTCGAAACTGAAGGCGAACTTCAAATTGACAAATGTATCAATAGGTTAAATCAATATCAATGCGGGTTTTCCAACCAGACAACTAAACGTCTTTCGAGGAACATTTGATGCCTACAAAGAAACAACTTAAATTGGGACTAAGGCCGCAAAGAATAAAAAGAACACATAAAATAAAATGAAAATAACAGGAGTCTCACAATAACAGCGGTGAGGCTCATAGTGGCCTTCTTTCTAATTTTCTTTATTTTTGCCGGCGGTTGAAAATGCGGGTGTGATCCCTGCGAAACATCCCGGGCTTTTTATTTTATTACATGTGTTCTTTTTAATATTTGCGGCCTTAGTCCCGATTTCCGATTGAAGTTGTTTCCTCGTCAGTGTTTCGGGCCGATCAAGTTGTTTCTTGTATCATTTGATGCCTATGTGGCAGATTGAAGGAAAACTTCAAATGGGCAATTTTTACCAATAGATTTACTCATTATCAATTTGCTCTGTCCAAATGGAGATGTTGCATGTGTGTGTGGGATTTGCGATTTGACCATTGATTCTTATGTAAAAGTTCGCGAGAAACACGATGGTGCCACTGGTTTTCTCTGAAATCATCTCCCAAGCTCAAAAAAAGCTCTCAAAGCGAGGCTAAAATGGAGGGGATATCCCACCCTACCCTGAGAGTCCACCTCTACATCAAGACTAACTCTCCATGCAAAGATAGGGAGCAAATACATTGACAAGGTTGCCGTGTTTTCAGTTTTAGAGTCCCCAAATAAAGTGGCAGCCCTGTCAATGTATTTGCTCCCTATCTTTGCATGGAGAGTTTGTTTTGCCACCAGTGGCACCATCGTGTTTCTCGCGAACTTTTACATAGGAATCAATGGTCAAATCGCAAATCCCTCACACATGCAACATCTCCATTCGCGGAGCTAGATACCGGGAACGGTTCATACCTCCCGCCGGGTTTTTGCTAATACGGCAAAACTGAAGCACTAACTTCGAATGGACTGTATCAACCCGTGGGCTCATAACATCGTATATAGGTTGAATCAATGCTAATCGACTGAAACAAATTATAAGTTTTTAAACAAACTATTTATTCGGTTTACTTGCGCTTCTCCATAGATTTGTTGCCTGTGCGCTGGGATCGAAGACGAACTTCAAGAGAATGATATTTACCAGTAGAATTACACGTCGTTTATTGGTTCACTTGAGGCGTGCAGCAAGACTATTACATGTTCTGCGAATAGTTAACTGTCTATCTGTTATCGTTGGTAGATATGATACCAAATAAAGATGCAAAGTAAAACGAATGACAAAAGTGTAAAATCTTAATGAGAAATCTATCAGAATTTTAGGTCGGGGGTGAGAGCGGGGGTTGTATAATGTTGGAGCATGTAATAACTCCCTCATTTTAATATTTATAGTTGTACAAAATGAAACCATAAAT